AGGTACCTGTTGAGGTACGTACGTGGTGCTTCACGCACTGTTCTGATCGTTACTGGTGGTTTGCATGCCTTCAGCAGCCTGACGCACACCGGCCCTGCACCCCGCAGAAGCACTGCCACCGGCTGAGCCCCCTACAAGCGTTAGGACCTCCGCTCTGCCCTTCAGCACCGCCACCATCAGCAGCACCTCTATCGTACGGCCGAGGACGAGCGGGAAGGCAGCGCTAGCAAGCCGTGGGGGCGAGGCTCCGGGAACCCCCGAACATCCCGAGCGTGCTCATCCTCCCACCTGCTCCACCGACTGCCCCACAGCCCCAACCTCTCCCGGCAGCGGCAGCGTTCCCGGCACCACCCACCGGCCGTCCCGCTGCCCCGGAGCAGCGGCTGCAGCAGCGTGGCTGGGCATTCTGCCCCTTGCTCCAAATGGCGTCTGAGCCTGGGGAGCGGCTCCCCGAGCAGCCCGCCGCCCTCCATCTTGGACCGCTCCGGCAGTGACGCGACGGGGCGGGCGCTTCCCTCAACGCATAGTGCTGCCGTGAGATGGCCTGTGGTTTTGTGCAGGGTGTCGCGGCCGGCTAGGTTCGTCACCGGTTCTACGGCTGTTACCTCTCCAAAGCGGGTGCTGTGGGCACCGTGCTTAGCCTCATGGAGTCACACCTTGCGGCTGTGTAAGCCCACCAGACCGAGCAGAAATACCTGCCATGCAGCGTTACCAGGAGCTAGTTCTCCATGCCTGATCTAGGTGTAGCTGCTTGCCTGTTTCACCCAGGTGACTGCCTTCTTGGATTCGTCAATTAATGCTCACCTGATAAAACAACACTTCATATTATTCATCCCTAAAGAAAACTGATGAAAGCGTGCCTTATGAGTGCAGCTGTAGCAAATAGTGACTCTGATAATGGACCAGCAATATATTACAAATTAGTGGTGTTGTGAATGATGCCAGTCGTCGTTGAAAATGGGAAACTGTGTTATGTAAATCCAAGTGAAAATAAATAAATAAATACATAAAAAATGAGGCTTGTTTTATCAAAGTAGCTAAAAAAAATAGGAAAAATAAGCAGAGATTGGGTAGCACATAAACATTTTGCTGTTTGTGTTTTGCAGACCACGTGGAACTGGGATTGTTTAGTCTGGAGAAGGGAAGGCTCAGGGGTCCTAATTGCTACAACTGCCTGAGAGAAGGTTGTGGAGAGGTGAGGGTCAGCCTCCTCTCCCAAATGACAGTGATAGGATGAGAGGAAATGTCTTCATGCTGTGCCAGGGGAGGTTCAGGTTAGATATTTGGAGAAATGTCTGAAAGAGAGGGATGGGAAACTGGAATGGGCTGCCTGTGGAGGTGGTGGAGTCACGGTCCCTGAAAGTGTTCAAGAAATGTGTAATGTGGCAGTGAGGGACATGGTCAGTGGGATGGTGGGGAAGGGCTGATGGTTGGACTGGGTGACCTTAGAGATCTTTTCCAGCCTTAATGGTTGTATGATAGAGGTAGCACAGGACTCAAACAAAAATCTCAGAGAACTATTCCATAAAGGCTGAGATTCGTATGAGATAGATTGAAGAAAAAATAATTTTAGTACATATTCTAGTTAACAAAAGTATATTTACCATCAAGTATATTTACCATCCTTGAAGAAAAAATAATTTTAGTACATATTCTAGTTAACAAAAGTATATTTACCATCAAGTATATTTACCATCCTTCTAGTTGTTCATAAATTGAAATTCAGAACATAAATGTTTCATTATCTGATTTGACTTTCCCTTTTAGAAGGTAAACAGTATTTTGCATGAAATCGGTGAGTATGAAAAATAAGTTTTCACAATACCACATGCATTCTTCAGCATAAATGTTTTGCAGATATTTTCTTTGTAGTTTCACGTTCAGAAAACAGGAAAAACAAGATGAATGGCATGTAGGCAGTGGTTAATAATTGTGACCTTATCAAAGACCTTTTGAAATGGGGAAAAAAAAATACCAAACAACCAACTTGAATAAATCTTTAAGAAATAATAGGTCTTCTGTAGGTACAGCCTAATTCAGTAAAGTGCTAGAGCAGCTTCACAACTCAGTAGACTTGCACTAATCTAAATTGTGTAATGATAGCCCTAACAGTAGTTATGACCAAATTTTTCAATACATTAACAATTTATGTTATATTTGGTTTGAGTTACAGGTGATTAAGCATTGGAGAATTTGGCTTAATCTGTGCATTTTGCAAGTGGAAGAAGAATAATTCTTCATTTATATGACTTCTCAGCTGAAATAGCATGTCTCTACTCGCTCATCATGTACTTTTCTGTGCATTTTACGTCCTGCCCAGCATATGGGTGAAGCAAGGCACAGGACTGATGATGAGCGACTTGGCAGCAATTATTGCAGAGATAAAGGAAATGAGGCTTCATTACTTAGGATACTCAAGGTGTACATTTAACAGGTGAGTTGCAAAGTCCTGCACCTGTACTGACGTAGCAGATCCTGGGCTGTACCTACAGGGGCATTACGAGCAGAGATGGAGTTGTAATCATCCCACTCAGCGCTTGTCAGACTGGACCTGGAGTCCAGTTCTTGTTCCCCAGTTCAATTCAGATGTGGGCAGACTGGAGAGGTTCCAGAGGAAGGCCATGAAGGAGATCGAAGGGCTCAAACACCTGGCTATAAGGAAGGGCTGAAAGAGAACTTTTCAACCTGGAGAAGTAAAGGGTTAGGGGGAACTTCATTACAGTATTTCAGTACTTGTAGCAAGTACTCTTGTACTTGCTACAGAGGGCATGGAGGCACTTCCTTCACAAAGGGGTGACATGGGGAAAATAAGGGGTAATGGGTACAAGCTGCACTGGGTAAGGCTCTGTCTTGATATGACATTTTTTTAATGATGATAACAATCAGTCACTGAAACAATCTCTCCAGGCACGTGGTAGAGTTCCTATCACTGGAGACTTTCAAGATGCAATTGTGTAAGGTGCTGGATAATCTCACCTAGGCTTCCTTTTCCTACAAGGGGTTGGACCTTATGATCTTTTGAGGTCCCTTTCATCCTTGATTGTTCTGTGATTCTATTTGCCATGTAGCCTGGTATGCAGATATACTGCATTGTATCATCTGCCAGAAGATGTAATCTTTTCAGCCAAGGGGCTGCAAACAGTGATTCACACAGTATATTTTCCTAAATGTCCCATCATCTGTTTTGTAGGGATTTCTCATGTTGAATGAAGCAAGAGTTCTGATTATTTTTTATTACTTTGCATTGACTTTTGAGTAAATTCAATGTAAAAAAAAAAAGCAAGAATTTATTTGCTTACTTCACTTGCTGTAGAACATGCCTTATATCCACATCATGAACATTAATGTCTGTGATTATGTTTTGTTTAGTTCAGCTGAATATTTTGAAGTTAACAGCTTATAGGAGTCTCTGATCTCAGCTTTCTTAGCAATGAAATAAAGGATTCTTTGTTTTACTTCCTTGAATGAAATGATTACCTCAGCCTTCACTTTCATGCTGGTAACTCGAATAGGAAACAAAGGAAATCATGCACTCTCTTTGCTAAAGCTATTCATAGGAAATATCTTTGATTTAAAGGTGGTAATTAAATAAATATGTATGCTTGAAAAGGTTAAGATCTGTTAGTGTTGTTAAACTGAAGACTCCTGTTTACCTACAGAGTAGGCATTGTGCAAAGAGCTGAAATAAGAGCTTCCCTTCCCTGGCTCAGTTTTGACCTTAACCTAGACCACTCATGTTCAGTGTTTATAGAGCCGAGATGTTTTCTGTGATCTTTTCACAGAGCTTCTCTGATTCAGTCATTATTAATCTGCTTAAGGATAATGATCAGGAGCTGAACTGAGGCTGGTACAAAATCAACAACATAATCAACAAAGCATCCAGACTGTGGGTGTGTTATGGATAATTCTTGCAAGTAAAAGTTTCATTTGCATTCATTTGCAAAAATTGCATTCAACACCTTCAAGTTCTTTTCTTTTAAAGATAAAAGAATGCTTTATTTCAGTGCTTTTAAACATTCAAGCTTTTGAAATTATAAATGAAAACTGAGTTTTCCAATCTTGCATATATTTAAGTTTGTTCTCTTGGTGTTCACTTGAGTATTTCCCACTTACTGACTGTTGTTTTAATGTTCATTTACAAGTAACTCTTAATACAGAAGTGTTATTTTATATTCCCTGTGTAGGTTCATGTGTATTTTAGAATTAGATTTCTAATTTGACTTTTAAAAAAGTAAAATTTGTTTTCTAGTATTCTATCAAATATCTGCAAATTTTTCCCCATTGCAAAAGTTAGTAGCTGTGTTTGTTCACAAGAAGCTTGCTTGGCCTTGCCTTCATTACTTATCTAGATAGGGCATTTTTAGTTGAAGGAGGGTGGCTATAGTGTAGGTGTATTCTTCATTTTGAGGAATAATTGTTCAGTTCAGTACAATGGAAACAAAAATATCACCAAAGGACTGAAAAAAAAAAAGCACATGGTGTTAGTACCTTCATACAAACACGAATATCAATCAGAGATTAAAACTTAATCTGATCTGAATGTTGTATATATACAAACTACAGAACTAAAGTTGAGTTTTAAATGTCAGTGCATCCTTAGATTGACCCTTAAGAAAGAAGCAATAGATATAATAGTGTGCTTGATGCAAAGAATACACTACCAGTCAGCATGCAAACATCTGAAACTTTTGAAGGAAAAGAAGGCAGAAAAGATAAAGGCAGTTAAAAACAGGAAGTAAATATCTAAAAGAAACGAAAAAGAATCAACGCATCACGTGATCTGATTTATCAAGTTATCTTGTTCTTCATCTTGAAAGTAGTCAAATACAAAAATGTGGCTGGTCCAGGACATCACTTTAGTCTGGAATGTCTCTTTGATTAAAGACTATTTCAACACCGTCAGTTATCCTGGTTAAAAATCTTAGGTAGCGTCAGTGTTGTATTCTTGCCTTTTGCAATAATTGGTTTTAAGAATATATAATGAGACAACTTTGTTTAAGAAAAAAAAAAAAAAAAAAAAAAAAAGAGGCATGAAATAAATCTGGACAAACCATTCTCCTAGAAGCTGGTAAGTAAATCTTCTCAGTCTGTCTCCTAAATCATTTCGTGAATTTAGTTTCACTTAACTATGCTGACTTTCTTAGGGAGTACAATGGCTCTCAAAATGTTTTCCCAAGACTACAGTTTAAAGATACAAAGCATTTGGCAGCAGTGCTCCATCTATAATTGTTCTTGACTACTCAGTCCTCAGTAGAGGTATATAATACCTCTCAGTTTGAGGATTTGATCTGGTTTTAAAAGCCTTCGAAAAAAATGCAGAGAAATGGTAAAGAGGCAAAAAGAAATGGCCAGATGTGAGAGGATGGGAAAGGGAACACTTGTGAATTACTGAAACTGATGTCCTCGCTGAGGAAAATGCCTGTGCAGCCATGCATATCTGTAAACTATGACAAGTTCTGCATCCTCACTGCACATAGGTACATCCTACCATCCTACAGTATCTTTTTTTTTTTTTTTTTTTTTTTTTTTGAATAATCAAGGCAGGTCTAATTTATGTAGGAAAGACTGTGTATCAGTCAGGGGAAAGAGTATTCGGGTTAGTTGTTGAAAGAACTTTTTGCTCTATTTAGACTTGAAATGTCTTACTCTAGGAGTATTGCTTTTTTTAGACTTGACACTTTATAGAAGTTATAAAGAGCCTTTTTTTTAAGGCTGCTGGTAGCACATTAACTATTTTTCAGACCTGGTCTAGTGCCCTCACTGCCAGAGGCAGTGGAACAAAGTTGCTCAGGCATGTGTGGACATCACTGCTACAAGATTGCAAAGTACAGAAAAAAAATTGTACCACGTACAGTATAGGAACTTCTCATTGATGTATACTGCATGGAATTCAGCCCATGCTCTTCGCTTGTGGAAATTTCTCTGAGGAGTCCTGCAAAAGGAAACATGAAACAAAGTTCTTATAAATTTCTTTCAGGTCAGGGGGTGTTTTTTGTTTGTTTGTTTTTGTCGTTTGCAGTCCATTGCTACTTACTTTCTGTAAGATTAATTTTTATACGTGCTTTGATTTGCTAACCTGATTGGACAGCTGAGTTAGAAGGAGCCTACAGAATGCTATATTGTCAAAAAAAGAAAGAAAGATGTTTGTTAGTATGAGAACTAAATTCAGCAGTATCTCAATCTGAAGTTTTAGCTGGGAGATGTGCAATTCCTGTTACTACTTTGACAAATGTGCTTCATATTAACAGGTTTTAAAAAGTGTACAACTAAGACAGAGTTGATATTTTTTTCTTCTCACAGAGAACTTGCCCAGTGCTACCCCCAGAAATGGCCAAGTGTTCACAAAAAAGCTGAATTTTCAAACACAGAGCAGGTGAGTGAGATATGTTGCAGTAGGAAAGGAAGAGGAAACAGATCTCATGGTGTAGAATAGGGAAATTGTAGGAACAAAGAGTCCATGAAAATATAATAAATGGTAGAGTGAATAGATGGAAAAAAGAATCAATAAAGACCTGTATGCATAACGTCTATAAATTCAGTAAAAGCTTTCATACTAGCAGTTGATTAAGAAGTCCAAAGCAAAAATGCTGGTACAATATATTGACTTCAGTCAGTGAAGCACTTGCTTTAATCATTAAAAACAAAACAAAAAAACAAAAAAACAATAAAAGTCTAGGAGAAAATTTTGGCCCTGTCTCATTCACAAAAAAAAAAAAAATCAGCTTTTGTTCTGCATGGGTACAGTATAGTGTCAAAAGCTGCTGAATTCCTTCTCATTACCAAGAATCAAAGGCCATCAGAAAGGCAGAAAATCAAGCACATAAAAGTGCACTTCATGCTTCCTATTTATAACTCAGTGTCTGAATCTTAAGAGTTCACTACATGGCTGCTGCAAAGAACAGATCAAAGGAGTAAAATTCACATATCTTGAACCATTTACAATGCTGGCAAGTTTCTGGTATTATTTTTCATTGTTTGTCATCTAAATGAGATGTAGTGATGTCAGTGCTTTTATATGGATCAAATGCCTCATGCATTTTAGTGGAAAGAGGAGGCTGTTATGCTAAAGTTCTGATATCTAGTAGGAGAAAGATGTGTTAAAATATAAAAGAAAAAAATGAAATGTTGAGGTTTAAGTGTAGATTCACCCTGATTTTTCAGGAGAGGGAAACCAATACTGAAAGATGGACCAATGAAATGGTCATTCACAGAATAATTTGTAATGGCATTCTGAGTTATTGATAAAAGTCGTTTTTTTATTTGTTTTACTGGCTATAAGAGAATATGAGAGATGAGTTTCCCTTTATTTCTTCCTGGTCATGTTAACCTGCAGTCCTATCAGATACCGATACACATCATTCTCTTCCCTTTGTATTCATGCTGACTTTGAGCAATATCTCCATATGTTTTAAAGCATCTTCTTTCTAATAGAACAAATGCATGTGAGAACTGAGATTGATTTTGTAATCAGGCCTTACTAAGGATTTCAGTGCTATTTAGTAGTAATGCATTCTACCTGATTAGTTGGTAGGTATACAGAAACATAATTTCTGTTATCCTGCTGCTTTCAAGTCATTTCAGGAACTATAAAACAAATTCTATGCAAAGTGCGTTGTTTTGCTTCTGATGTAAACTTGGGGAGGGGGGTGGGGGGTGTCGAGAGAAGTTTCTATTTAAAATCTCAAATCAGAAGATCAAAGTATACATCTATTTGAAGAAATGGCTGTTTCACGTCATTTAGAATAAATTGGAGACAGAAATGAAACAAAATATGTTCTTCAAGTTGTCTCAGCCTGTGAGAATGTAAAAGCATGAGAATACAGGTGCAAAAGGAATTGTCTCATCAAGTGCAAAGAACAGTTACCACTGAAACTTTCTCTGCTCCAAGTGAAATTTAGTATTAAATATAAAATAACACTTCCTGAAAAAGAACTAATGGGGAACACAATGTGCTGCTTTTCTTGGCTGACAGAGCAGAAAAGAAACTTAGAGGGCTTATTCTTGGTTTTTTGTTTTTTGTTTTTTTTTTTCTTGAAAGCTAAACCAGGAGAAGAAAGGGATAGATGTTGAATATATTGATTGAGATATCTTGTGACCTGTGAGCACAGCCCAATGTATAGAACAATATACCTTTTTTTTTTTTGCTTATCTTGCACAAGGAGTTTAATATTTGCCCTCTCATTTCCTAGATAGGGGTGAGCATTACAGCTTTAAAAGTTTCCGAATGGAGTAATGTACTGGGACTCTGTATCGTGTGGTCATCGGTTATAAGCCAGTACTCATGTTGGACGCTGATTGCATTGTACTGATGCAATCAGATTAAAGCAACAGGTGGGAGGATCTTTTTTCACTGGGAGAAAGGAGAATGAAATACTCTAATGCACCCGTATGGTGGAGTGCTGAGTACAACAAACAAGACATCCTTTGAAGCTTTCTTCTTTTCAGTGATTAAAATCCCTGCTTAAATTCTGATGCTATGCTTACCAAGAAAGCCACCGACTTTAAACAATTCATTTTCTGATCTACAATACTTCCATCTTTCTCACTCATCCAAAGACATTCAATTTCCAATACAGTATTTTGGAAGGAAAAATCTTAATGGTAAGGCATATTTTCTTATGTTTTCTTATGTTTTCTTACTATGCTGTTTAGAAAATCAACAAACAGAACGTGCTTAAACACTTTGTAATGCTGTTACTGATATCTGATGGTTTCTCAGCACTTTATTGTGACTGCTATCATTACCAATTGACTGCTAAGCATATAATTTATGGGGAAGAAAGTTTTTTCTTTTTTTTTTTTTTTTTAAAAAAAAGGCTACAAAAGGTGAAAACAGTAGTTTAGTAGTTAAATTTCTCCATGGCATCACAAACCCAGTACACTGATTAGTTGTTAAAAGAAACTTCAATACCACAGCATTTCTGTCAGATAAAAGGTTAAAATAAAAGGCTGCTTACTTTACTGTCATGACATTCTTTAACATATTCTGTACTTTTTGTGTTTTTTGAACAGGAGTTCAGTAGCATGCTTGATGAATGCACCCACAACTTTCCTGTCCATGCAAAACCATAATAATTGCTGCTAAGAAACTAGGTCGAAGATGATGAGCTTTCTGGTTCATCATGTGTTTGTTAACAACTGTGCTAAAATGTTAGTTGTAGGTTGTGTCAGCTCGATTTCCTTGGACATCAAACTTTGTATTGATGGCAGTAGCATGCTGCAGTTGACCTGGATGGTCAAAGATAGAGCACAGTGGAAGAACGGAAGTTGTGATCAGCATGCACAAAATCATTGCAGTTATGCTGTTAGATTTTTCTTCACAAACGAAAGGACATGAGCCAGTAACGTGCCCTCACAGCCCAGAAAGCCAACCATATCCTGGGCTGCATCAAAAGAAGTGTGGCCAGCAGGGTGACAGAGGTGATCCTGCCCATCTGCTCCGTATTGGTGAGGCCTCACCTGAAGTACTGCGTCCAGATGTGGAGTCCTCAGTACAGGAGAGATAAGGACCTGTTGGAGCATATCCAGAAAAAGGCCACAGAAATGATCCAAGGGATGGAACACCTCTCCTACAAGGACTGGCTGAGAGAGCTGGGTCTGTTCAGCTTGGAGAAGGCTTCAGGGAGACTGGAAAGCAGCCTTTCAGTGTCTAAAGGGGAGTTACAGGAAAGAAGGGGACAGACTCTTTAGCAGGGTCTGTTATGACAGGACAAGGGGAAATGGTTTCAAACTAAGAGATTTAGATTGGACATAAGGAAGAAGTTTTTTACAATAAGGCTGGTGAGACACTGGAACTTGTTGCCCAGAAATATGTTGGAAGCCCTATCCCAGGGAATGTTTAAGGCCAGGCTGGTTGGGGCTTTGAGCAATCTGATCTAACTGCAAATGTTCCTGTTCATTGCAGGGGAGTTGGACTAGATGGCCTTTAAAGGTCCCTTCCAATTCTAAGGGTTCTATGAAATACATGCATGTGTAGATGGCTGTCAAACTTGACATTAGTTCTTGAATGTAAAAGACCGCAAAGTCACTCAAAAGATTTAAGAGCTGTTCAATAAAATTAATCATCTGACCCAGAAACTGGAATCAGATAATGCTTAATGAACATATTAATTAAACTCCAAGCAGCAAGTTTCCAAATTACCAGTGTGGGTTGCACTTTTATACTGCCTAGAATAATCTTTTTAAAATATTGCATGCTGTCTGAATGCAATTAAAGATCTCCAGATAAGCTTATGCTATCGCCCCCTTGGATTTGCTAAAACCTTCATGTAAGAACAAAAGAGCACCCTATGTATGTAACTTCCTTGCAACAGACTGACAGGATTGAAAAACAAACAAACAAACAAACAAACAGTAAATACATTGATTAATCATTTTTGAGATAAAAGTAGGAAGGTCTTGCTATTTTTCTGTCTTGGTGAAATATTCTGAATGGAATGCAAGGCAGCATGCCCCCTTCTGAAATGGTGACCACTAAACAGGTAATTATTAAGAGGGTAATTTCAATTGGATAGAGACATTGTTAGCTGCAGCAGTAAACTGAATCCTGAATGTGTTTTACATAGAAAAGCTAAGTTCAGACCTCTGAGGAATCTCTAATTGTCTAATGAAAAAAATATAGATTTCCTTTTCTATTATTATTTTTAATGTTGAGCTGCACGTCAGTAATGCAACTGTGCATGGACTTAAGTAGCATTTGAAGTGATCTATAGGGACATAGACTCCTCTACCATTCTGCAGTACTTCCAGCAATATTCATAAGGAAAAACAGACAAGTTCACAAAGCCTATTCTTTCTCCTTTTCTTATTATTTTCTTATTTCTTATGGTCAACAACATGGTCAACATTGTCACCATCATATCATCAACAAAACAACTTTTTATCTTTGGAAGATACAAAAATTAAAACCTCTAATTAATTACTCCAACAAAACTACTTAAAATCTCTATATAACATTAATATTTGTAGTAAAATAAACAGTGAAAAGATAAATGGGAGTGTATTCATTTTAGTCTTATGTCCTTTCCTATATTTGAAAAAAAAAAAAAGTAAAAAAAAGTAAAAATAAGCTTTTAGAATGCACTGAAAGAACTCAGTTTTCCCAGGGCTGTAAATAAACTTTATTCACATACGTCCAAAGCCATTTTCATGAACTGGCAAACAACCATTTAGTGAAGAGAGAAACTTATTATGGACTTCCATTGTAATTTTTTCTTATAAACAAGACAAATATGTACTCAGAGAAACTGGACCCAGACATTTAACATTTTCGCACTTCTAATATATTCACTAGTTTTACAAATTCAGGTATTTTAAGATTTCTGCCCTTTTAACATTCTTTCAGTGACTGCAATACAAAAAAATATATATATAGTTTGTGGATTTCATGCACAGATTTCTTCTGGGTTGGTTTGTTTCTTTTTTTGGTACAATCATAAACTGACAAGACTTAATAAATTTGAAGTGGTATTTTACAGTCATTTATTTTGTTGGTCAATTTTTAGTCTAAGTGACATCACTTATTTAGTCAGTTGTAGTGCTAATTATAAAACCAAGTAGCTATGCACATACAGGTAACAGTCTTCAGATATTCACTGAATGTGCAATTTTACATACATAAATCTTACAGACATTGTAATTATGCACTTCACAGCACAAAATTAAGAGGTTATTAAAGCTACAGTGCATAAAGGAACTATCAGTCATACCATTTTTTTAACTGTATCATAACAAAACATTTTTCTACGGTGAGGTTTTGAATATGAAAATCCTATTGCTCTTAAAATAGTTCCTACCCTGGTCCTGATAAACATTCGTGCCTATAAATAAAATCCATTCCTGGAAGAATTTTAATATAGCTGTTGCCTGTTATTTTCAATGCCTCTTAAAACTTGTACAAAAAATATACATTTTCCTTAAAAATTAAAAAATACCTGAAACAGATATGCAGCACTCCTAAAATATTCTGCAGTAGATCTAGAAAAAGAAGATGAATCCAGTCTTAAATTCTGTTCTCTCATACACAAACAATTTGAGACCAATATATGATGTCTGTCTACTTGACAGCAGGATTTGACTCAGTCTGCAATGCAAACATTATGGAAAGGATGAAAACTTATTTCAGGAGTTTCACTTTGTCCTTTAAAACTTTAAATTTGGGATTGTTGTTCACTTTCTTATTAAATATGATTAGAATATCCTCTTCTGATTTGTGATGTTCACCAGCTACTGCATAGTACTGAGCTATAACCTGCACAAAGAAAGAGGAACAGCTTTGAGTTAGTAAAGATCCAGTTAAAGCAGTAATACTGTTACTGTATTAAAAGCAGCACATATTCTATGTATTAAAATGCAGATGCTACACCTCTGCAGAACTTGCCTCTGTATTCTCCTGAGTTCTAAAGAATGAGTCTAGTTCTAGTCATTCTGTCAACTGATGTTCTGCTAAGTAATATCAAACATTTTTGACAGGAACAGGATTTTACAAGCTTCAGCACTACAGGAAAAAAAAAATAAAATTATCAAGACCAAAGAAGACTTAAAACCTAAAAAAAAGGATGGTGTACTGTACCTTTTTTCTTAGTTTTTTAATTGAAATTTCATTGTCTGGAGCCTGTTTCAGAACAGCTTTGATGGTTCCTTTCCAGTTGAATTTACCTAGAAAATAAGCATATAAAACTGTAAAGTATACCAGATCTTCTTATGGTAGGAACCTTCAACCTACAACTTTTAGAACCAGTTCAGCTGCCATCACGGTTCATTGTTATCCTGCTGACTCTACAACAGCAGAGTGTCTTAAGCATAAAGTCAGGTAGGCTGTTTCTGAACATTTTATTTGGATGTCTGTGAAGAATCATTGTACAACATCAGCAGTTAGGGTTCAAGATGGCATTTACTTAGCTTCTGAGTTTCAGCTATAAATCAGAAACCATTACATAATATGCAATCTGCATGTTCAAGGACAGGCATTCCCTAAAGATAATGAAGTGCCTTGTCTTATGTAAGCATAAACCAGATAAACTCCAATTTATGATTCAATTAGAAAAAATGGTAATGTAAAAGACAAAACAGATACAAAGCTGCTAATTGTTTTTCCTCTGTGCTGGCCAAGGCGTACAGCAGCAGGGAAGAAACCTATTGTGGTGAAAGAAATATGCCAAATTCCTCACTGTCCAGAGAAATTAAGTGTAGCTAGAGGCTGCCAGCACAGAAGTAACAGAATTCAGAACTAGGTGTAAAGTGTAGCACAGCCTTCTTCCTCTGGAACAGACAGGTGAATGTTATGATTGAGGCACAACTTCATGGCTTGCTAAGAAAGCACCATATTCTGCACAAGGTCTTTTGTAGCACAGTTCTGTAACCATCTAAACTTTCCCTTTCGGAATATCTTTACCTTTTCCAAGAGTTTCTTCATTGCCATTGGTGTTTTCTGTTTCCATGTCTTCTGACATGCTTTCAGTTTTCATTTTCTTTTTTGTGACACAAGGTTCCTCTACAGGTGAAACACACACACAGAAAAAGTGATAAAACTAGAAGAATTCTAGTTGCATAAGAAGTAAGTTTCTATTCTTGTAACATAAGCTTGTATTTGCTAAAATGTTCATGTTCTGTTAAATTTGTGTATTTAACATTAACTCCTTTTAAAAATTCCAGTGAGGCAGATTACTGATCTTTTAGGCACTGACAAAAGCCTAGAGACAAAAATGCAGTTAGTAGGATAGATACCTTCTACATGTTTATATTTGCGTTTCCTGACATTTGTTTCCTGCTCTGTTTCATTCTGATGGCCATTTCCATTCATTTCAAATTCATTCTCCAAGCAATCCTTCTGTTTTTTGGACTTCTTATTCTTTTTTGTTTCTGAGCTCATAGGCTGACTTTCTAATTTCAAATCTTTTTTCTCCTTCTTATTGTTCTTTTGTCTCTCTTCTTTTCGTTCTTTCTTACTCTTTTTCCGCTCGGTTTTACCATCTGTAACGCCGTTTTCTTCTGCCATTGTTTTCTGCCCTCTTTCTGCAAACTGTACTCCATCCTTCTGTTGTGGTTTGTCGTGTTCTTTTCTACCTGTCACCTTTTTTCAAAGACAGAGTATGACAGTTTTGACATGCCTTTATCGATAATTCAACTTTTCTCCACTATATCATTTCTGAAATACACCAATATCCTGAATTCAGCCACGTTTATTACACAAGGTAACACTGTATTACACAAGTAAACACTGTGGCTTGATTCTTCTAATACTCTCACCATCACAGCAGAAATGTTATCTTGCAAAAAAATCTTTGACTTGGCTTAATTTGTTTTTCCTATGTTTTACGGTACATGTTGCACTATGTAAATGGTGCACTTGTTGCATGGATCCATGTTTAAACTCCACTCTCAAGGCATATCAAGGCAGTATCAGAATTTCTAAGGGCACAATCAACATGAATGCTAAAAAACATAAATGTGATGAGAGAAAACATCATATACTTCCAAAACTAAAACACTGTACTTAGCAGGCAAAGACACCATTCTGAAACACTGCTACTAACAATTAGACACATTATCAGAATACAAGGAAGAAGGAATGTGCAGATTAAAGAAGAGTCTGTGTAGTTTTTTAAGACATACTTGCTAAAATTAAGGCAACACAAAGCTTTGATTTCTGCAGATAAACATTTTTTTTTACTCATTCCTGTTGTACAATGTTGTACCTCTAATTTAACTTACATCTCCAGTTGCTTCAGAAAAAATATCCCACACCTGATTTTGCAAAGTGCTGTCAGTAACTCTCAAACTGTTCTTCATCCAGTTCTGTGAAGGAAAGAAAAAGAACACATTACCAGTAACTTTAAAAAGTGCATCTCCTTTTTCTTTTTTTTTTTCTTTTCTTCTTATTACCATATATTTAGCTCTTAAATTTAAGAATTTTGTTATTCTGCATGATGAAGATCTGGTTCGATGTTTATTCTCTAGAAATCCCTTAAAATTAATGCAATTTTGTATAGCATATTGTTAAAAGTCTATGCCATGCCTGTCAATTGCCTCACCAACAATAATCCAGATGAGATCAATATACAGAAAATTATATCCTCAAGCTTTTGAACAGAGCTGGTTGTATCTATGCCCTACTAAACCTTTTTACTGTTTGTATGAGCTAAAATATTAAAGGTGTGTTCTTGTTTGTTTCACTAGAGACAAATAATCCTTTAGGGATACCTGGGAAGGTTGCACTGGTAAACTGGAATAATGGACTGCAAAAACTTTTGATCTTTCAATGCAACATCTTACCAAAAAGAAAATAATGATTGAAAATAGAACTTCCCTTGCTTAGAACGTTTTTGTCAATTTTGTCAAAGTAAGTCTAACTTTCTAGCTAGCTCTCTGGCAGTAAGTTCACATCAGTTTTATTACATCCTATCTGAACCACCTAGAAGCAATCATTATTTTCTTTCAGCTTTACAAATTGAGACACAAAAAGAGGTGGAGGCCAACTTGTAATTCTTTACAGATACCACATAAAGTATTTGGAGTCTGCTGTGGTTGGGAAGCACACTTCAGTTAAGTACCCTGTATGGGAGAAGGGCTCAGAACACTAATCAACAGGAAAACTCCCTATAACAAAGTTTCTTGCAGCTCCCAGGCAAAACCTAAGCCACAGACATTAAAATTCTTTGCAAATATGTCTAAGAATATGGATATTCAAAAGCAATTGCAAAAAGAAAAAAGGAAGTATTAAAAAAGAACAAGCCTATACATCCAACCTTAATCCGTTAGTCTGGGAATCAACTTTGTGAGTCTCTGGCCTAATAACTAATTAAAATTGCATTTAGACAAACTGCATTTAGACACCTTTTATGAAAGGAGAAATAATTTACAAACATCTCCTATTTGAAAGTTGGCCATTACAT